TCCTTATAACGAAATGGCTAATATTATCATTATCTTTACTAATTCTAATGTATTCACTTTTTATTGTGAGGGGAAATGTTAGTATTGCATATAAGTGTTGGTGTACCCTAAATTTTTAAAAAAATTTGTTAATTGCTCAATGTGGTGTTCTACTGGAATCTTACAGATTATTTTTAATATTGAAAAAAGAAAAACTATTTTTTTGTTAATATAAGCAGTCAACTAAATTGATTGAAATATTAAATTAATTACATTCTTTTGGTGTAAATATTCTCTAAAAAATGCCATGTTTTTTCAGGAAGTAGGCACTCATGGTGCTCTGGCTCTTCACATAGTCCTTTTCTTTATTATTTATGAATCACCATGACTTCTTGGGAAAGATACTGTAATAGCTTACTGTTGTCTTCCTCATAACTTGGAATTCAAACTTTGCCTTCTGCTAGACTGGTTACCACCTAAGGCTTTAAAGCCCAGTCTACTCTATTTAATCTGTAGTTGGAAGAGGAAGAGATGTATTCATGTCTTTTCCAAGGGCATTAGTTTGAAAGTGAACACAACTGACTAGGCTTGAATTTGAACTTGCATTGCTGATTCTACTTTCTGTGTTGATAAGTTACACTAATTGCATATCCTTGGTGTAAACATCCTTCTTCTTCTATATATATATATTGTGTTCCTCCAGGACATGGAAGATCATGATTCACCCCAACATCCTGCCTTTTGTAGTTCTTGGTGTAAATATTAATAATTATTAATATGGAAGTAAAAATAAAGATCTACTCATCTAATTGCTCTGTTATTTTTTTTTAAGATTCTGAGATGATGAACTGGATAAAAAGCAAAGCAAAAAAAAATCAGTGATAAATATTTCCAAGGGCATGTGTGAAAGTGAATGCAATTGACTTAACTAGGATTTGAATTTGTGCTGATAAGTTACTCTAACTATACATCTATTGTGTAAACATTATTGTTCTTTTATATGCTGGGCGATCATGGCTTTCCACACCATCCTGCCATTTGTATCTCTTGGTGTAAATGTTACTAATTGTTAATATGGAAAGAAAAATAAAGATCTACTCATTTAATTTTAAGATTTTAAGATGATGACCTGGATATGTCTGTGCTAAAAAGCAAAGAAAATAAGCTTAATAAAAACAATACTAAATATTTTTCTCTTAGAATCTCCCAAATAATTTGATAGTCTTATTCATATTAGGATATAAACCAATATAGCATGACAATTAGAAGGAACATGTATTGGAATGATTTAAAGATGTGAACCCTGATTGACCATAAATGCTTTTCTGACAATATCATTACAGGCTTGTTAGAGTGGGTTACTTTTGAAAGCTCAGTACTTTTGAATTTAGTATTTTGCTACTTGTGAATTTTGAGAATTGTTTCCACCCTGCAACCCTTTACCCCATAGATCAAAACATTTTCTACTCTATTATTATTTCCATGGCAAATGTTTGGTTGAACTACAATCCTTACTTTCACCAGTTCAGACCATCACAGGTAAGACTTGTCTGACCATGTATATTGAGTCATCCTCATTCCTTCCATATTCCATTAGTCAGGGAGAAGTTCCACTCAGATAGAATCTTCTCCAGAACTATTACATTATGGAATGCACTCCCAAGATGATGCTTTCTGGGTCACTACAATCTTAACCTCTTCAAGTCAAGGGTCAAGCTTTATCCTCATAATATGCAGCTCTTGTACCCTTCCTGTACACCCTTGCAACAACCTCATTTATTTAGTAAACCTCTACATTGTGTGGCTTTTGGTCTTTGTATTAAGTGAACAATATTAAAAAAAAGAAAACAAAAAAGATGGAATAACTTGGGTTTTAATGAGAAGAAAATCAATATAAAATTTTGAGTCATCCATACACGATGAGCTCTTCAAATGTGAGAAATGGGAATGTCTTTGGAAGGATTTTTATTTTCCTTGTTGAAAACTGAACTGGATTTTTAAAATGATTAAAGCAGGATAGAAAAAAAATGTGGAAATTTGTTAGTTTTTTTTTAAAAATCTCTCTTATCAATGTTTCATCCATACTTCCAGTAAATAGACTTTCTTTATCATTGTCATATTAGCAACTTTCTTATATGCTTGTTTTTTTTTTTTTTTTTTTTTTTCTATATGCTTATATAATTTACTGAGCGACACTTACATTATTTAATGAGTTTCCAGAGGCAGTTAATATTTTATAATAAAGTAAATAATTTATTCAAGATACTATATAATTTAATTTAATCATCACAGAGAATTTTTTCTGCCTGTGATCAGGAGAGCAACAACTTGGTGCCTTCTTGAGCAGACATTTTCCACTGACATGAAGTGGAGTGATTATATTGAATCAATTGCTAGGTCTACTACTAGGAAAGTTGGTTAACCATTTAGTGCCAGACAATTCTTCTTGCATATTTATAAATCTACCATTTGTTTGTGTATTGAATACTGCTGCTATATCTGGTTTAGTGTTCCTCCAATATATCTTGAGATTCTTGACAAAATTCAAAGAAGGGTTGGTAGTATAATCGATCCTGATCTGGCATCAGCCATTTTCTCACTGATGTTAAATCAGTGAAAGAGTAACTTCCCTTTGTATTTTCTACAAATATTTTCATGGCAATTGTTCGGATGAGTTCTTTTCCCTGATGCCTCAACTACATGGATTTAAGCGTGCTGCTATATATGGCAACTAGGTCTTGTCATTTTACTGTATAACTAGCAAGATGCAACTGTCAGTAATATTCTAATAGTTTCCTTTCTTGCACTTCTCACCTGTGGAACTCCTGACTTCTTCCTTCACTACCAGCTACAATCTTAAAAAATTTAAATACAATGTCAATTGTCATCTTTTGTCTTCCTGAAACCTATTCCTTTATTTTCCTTTTCTTCACTTCTCATCATTAAATTCTTCTCATTCTTTGCCTGTAATCACATGTGTCCTTGTGGCATTATCACCTTGCTTGGGGTGAAATGATAAAAAAAACAATACTTAGTTAATTTAAACATGACTTTATAACATTTGTATCTTAGGTTAGCATTTTTTAGTATGCATACTAGTAGAATCTTCTATATAAACAAACATTCATCATTGTCATTGGCTTTATCTCATATCCAAGAATTTGATTTCTTTTCCGATTGCTTCCTTTATGATGATAGTGCTGATGACTAAGTAGACTGATTCTTACATGGAAGAGCCAATTAAAGAAGCATTAAGTATATTTTAACAAGATGTGTAAGCATATTATTTACACTATTTTATTTTTGCCATTTCCTTGTATATTATTGATAAAATACTCAAAATTAGTATTTGTCCCTCATAGAACAATGTGTACGAAATGGTTATAGCATCAGTATTTATTCCATTCTGTTAGTGTATTTTTTTTTAATTCTAAGGATTCTTTAAATAATTAATCAAAATTTAAAAATAAAAATTTTTTTTTGATTTCTGACTATAACATATTCTGTGAAAATTAAATTATTCTAATTTATACTTTAAGTAACTCATAGTCAATTAAGAATAATTATTAGATTAGTGAACATAAAGTGTAGAAATACGTCATTATACAGTGAGTTATCAATAAGTTATAAACATATTTTATCTATATTATTATCGAGTTGGTATTTTCACTATAAAATTGTTATTACCCAATCAGTGTTGGTTAAATTTTCAGGATATATTTGTGATTTTCTTTTCACTAATATTCACCCACTGAAAGGGCCAAGAACCACTCAAGGTAGAGGCTTACTAAATGCGGTGTGTGGTATGGATATAAAAGAAAGAAGTTGGAAGTAAAGATTATGAGGATATGGAGAATAGATAATGATTGACCCTTGACTTGAAGTGGTTAGGATTGTAGTGTTCACTGAAGCATTCATGCAGGAGTCTGTTCTGCAAAGTAGAGGTTCTTGGGAAGAATTCTTGAGTAGAGCTTCCTCCTTAACAATGGAATATAAAAGGAATGAGAGTGATTCAACTTTGTGGACAAATACAGGGGATCCTCAACTTATGTCAGAGATCTGTTCCTATGGTGTGATGTAACCTAATTTTCAGAACTCATTTACATAAGCATTCATGAGTCTGCCTTACGCTTGGGAGCCATAATGAAGGGCAAAAAGTTCCCCTAAAATGATGACACAAATGAGAGATAGCGATAGTAGCACAATCCAATATGGCATACAGCTGGTAAAGAAACAATGCCATCTTCCTCATATAGAGCGATGTGATGATGTATTATATTATGGGAAATGGCATTTTAATCACAAAATGCCGTATGTCAGTTCCAACATAGCCTGAGGACCTTCTCTATAAATATATAAACATTTAATTAATATTAATACAAAGTTTTGAAAGTATATTTTTATCGAATGTAATTTATATTGCCATAAATTTTATTTTTAATGGGTACATGTCTTTGAGTTGCTATTATTTTTTTTTTTATTTTATTAATTCAGGCCAGTTGTTATTTATTAATTTTACTGTTTAATAAAATAGCAACTCAAACACATGTACCCACTAAAAATAATCTTTATAGTAATAAGAAATAATGTCGGATAAAAAATACTTTAAAAAATTACTATTGTTTACATTTTGGGTACGAAATTGAAGCTAACAGATATAGATTTGTATAAGTCCAAATGAGATATATGCTTTTCTTAAATAGGTAATTCTAACCTTGTCCTGTCAGGCTGGTCTTCGTGGTCAAAATGATAGATTTGATTGATTCATTTTCTATGGCTCAACAACCCTTTGCAAGTTATTTAAAGCCAGAAAACATTTCTAGATTGTAAGAATTTTTGGAGTTGATAATGATTTAGTGATGCAAGTCTTACTAAATTAACCCATATCTGGGGGAGAAGAAGTGGATTCATACCTTTCCCAATGGTATTTGCATGTAGGTGAATATAACAAACTCAACTGGAATTGGAATTCGTCTCTTTGATTAACAATTCTGGAATATTGCACCATCTGAACATCCAAGCTTACAGCACTTAGTATTCCTGAGTGGTCACCCTTCTAAGTACTGACCAGGTTTAATGTTGCTTAACTTTGGTGATCATGCTAGGAACCAGTGTTTCAGCATATGGCCATAAGTAGGCTCAAAAAGCAGTTTTCCTTATTGAAAATAGCGATGCAGGTTCAATTCATATTGGAGGCACAATTTTTCTTCAGTAGGACTTCTTAATTTAGGCCAGTTGTTATTAATTTCACTGTTTAAGAAAATCAGATAGCAACTCAAACATGTGTACCCACTAAAAATAATGTTTATAGTAATAACAAATTTAAATATTATTTAAATATAAATATGATAAATATGAGTTTCAGTTGATGATACTTTTTTTTCACTAAAAATATATTAACTCATTTGATAGTGTGAGATTTTCATCATGCAACTTAATTGCTGTTGATATGGAAATAAATATGTATAATCGTATAGATATTGATATTGTTTAATTTCTAATAATCTTTCTTGTCATTTTTTTTTCTGCTATACTTTTCAAATATTTCAGTAACATTTTCAAAATTCTTGAAATCTTCATCCAGAGAAATTATTTTGCCTCATCTTTCTTGTGTCTCCTTTATTTCTTAATTTCAATCTTTAATTTCATTAAGTCATTCTGTTTAAACATGTTGAAAAGAATGTCTTCACTTATTTACAGTTGCTTCTATGATATGTCTCTAGAACAAACTTGCTCTGTTCACTTGGCTTTCAATGTTTAAGCAACCTGAATAAGTTTAAATTAACCTGTTAGTGTTAGATTTGGATTTTAAATATTTTCTGATGTTCTTGAGTGCCTTGGACATTTTTTAAAAAAATACATGAATGTTGCCTGTCTGATATCTCTATGCTGAATCTTTGATTATGTTAACCTTAGTTTTAAGCAGACAGATTTGATGGATGTCCAATGTGTTTACACAATCATTTGGCTATTTTTGTCACTTGCATCATCGTGATGATCATCAATTCAATGAAGTCTTATAAAGATTTGAGAAAAGAAAAATCAGGACAGAGATTATTGAACATTTTTTTTTACTTTCTAAAGGATAACAACTCTTATATCAGTTTCTGTGATAAAGTATTAAGAAATGAAAATATTTTGTTAGGAATAAGACTACTGAACTGTCATGTAATATTAATCTTCTGATATGACAGTGAATACTGGACAATTTCCTCACAGATGTAGGAAATACTTGAGGCCAAAAAGATGTGGTAAGGCAGAAGGATACCATAGACTGTACATGTGAATAATAAAGAAGTTTTAAGGATAATGAAAACAAAAAAGATGTTTATATTTAGAATTAAAAAAAAGCAGTTGAAATTTTTAGAGTATGTAATAAAAAAATTTGACACTCACTGGAGATAATGAAAGCAAGAAGTACAGAAAGAAACAGTGAGTGACCTATTTACATTATTCGGACTATTGTCCTCATCTTTGTTGCCATATTTATTACTTTCAGAACAACCAACACATATGAGTGTATATAAGCATTTTTCTTAAACATCCTAGACTAACAATTAGGTAATATGCTCCGGCCTTCTTCAGGTGGTTGGAATGTCAAACTGAACCCTTTATTTCGCTCACTAGGGTAGACTGTTCTCATTCCACATGCCATGTCTAATGGATATCCACTGCTTTAACCAGTTAGTGAACTCACACCTTTTGGGTTCTGTCACTGGATCTAACTAATGCCTTTATCCATTGTGCCATGTGTCCTTGAGGACATGGCACATGGTGCAGAACTTGAAGAGGGGAATTAACAGGAGATAACTGACATCCATTAGACGTGACACATGGAACTAGAACAGTCTACCCCAGTGAGCAAAATAAAGGGTTCAGTTCGATATTCCAACCACCTGAAGAAGGCTGGAGCATACAACAGTCTGAAACGTTGTAATAAATATGGTGACAAAGATGAGGACAATAGTCCGAATAATGTAAATAGTGTACATAATACCTCATCTCAGAAATATAGACAGACAGTGAGTGGCCTACCTAACAAGCACGTGTAAATGGGTGGTAGAATAGGGACTAGGAAGAATAGTGAAAAAACAAACTCTTTTAGAAGCTACAAATGACAAGAAATGATCACCCAAGTTCTGATGGGCCACATAGAAGAAATAAGTAGTGGCAAAGAAAGTATGATGATACTCATATTATAGAGTGAAGATACATTTTGTAAACACATCTATACTGAAATAGGAGTGCCAGCTTACTGATAAAATAAGTTTTAATCTCTATAACATTACATTTTATTCATTCCATTACTTCATCTAAGTGTGCATGTGCATGGTACACAGAACACCTTATCCAATGCATGATCCTTACATTCTCATCTGTGATATCTGAGAGGATGCTCTTCTTTTCTCTGAGGTGGGTGTTTATATACCTACCTGCCTAACTATTTGAAGAGTTTATTATAGCTAATATCTTTGAAAATCTGCCTTGTGATTGACATGGTGGTTTATTTTCCACCTGCATCAGTGGTCTATATTTGAGCCCTGGTAAAAAAAAAAAAGCACAATTTTAAATATTTTTCACAGTTACTGGTTTTTATACTAATGTTCACCTAATACAAGACTCAAGAGCCACTGAAGCTAGAGGGTTACTGTGTGGTGTTGTATAAGCATAAGAAAAGACGAGAAGTGATGTTCATGGGGTCATGCAGGATTGTTTGGAAGATTGATGCATTACAATCTTTCCACTCTTGATTACGTTACAGACTAAGGTACATTTCATGAGTATTTTCCTGCAATTTTCACTTTTCAGTTATTTGCAAAGTAATTTGTTCAATAATCTATGTATTGAGTTTTGAATAATATAAAAGAAGTAGCAAATAAATTTTTCTCAAGATTTGTTTTTGATAACACTTCTTTTTATTTTGCTTACTAATTGCTCATCGATTTTTCCTTTTGTATATTTATAACAATATCATAAACTTTATCATGTTTAGTTTTATATGTATTTTCTTTCTCTCACTCTTGTTTAAAAAAATTGTAGGGGAATATATTCTGTGGCTATTGTAAATTTCATAATATTGCTTGCATAGAATTGAAATTAGATTGTTTTCCTCTTGGTTAGTTATGATAATGAACTTAAAATGAAATTAACTGAAACTAACATTTAAATTCCTATTACTTTAAGTTTCATGGTATATTACCTAATTGTTAGTCTAGGATGTTTAAGAAAAATGCTTATATATACTCACATATGTGTTGTTCTGAAAGTAATACCTTTTTTTTTTTTTTTTTTTTTTATTATGGTGACCCATTATGGATGTTGGGTGCATGGCAGTAGGGGTTGAATTTTCATATCAATAAGCCATTTTTTTTACCTTGTTACAAATAGCAGTCTGGCAAAATGGCACTGACATGAAAGTGCATATGAAGCAGAAGTGTGAATGAATTCTTTTATGTGGAGAAAAAAAAATCCATTCGCATTTGTTGATGTTTGATCATTTATGTAGAGCAAACAGTGGATGTGAACACGGTTAAGCAGTGGCTTATGCATTTCAGTGATGTGTGCGATAAGCAATGTTCTGGGTGGTCTTGAAAAGCCATTAATCCACAAAGTGAATAGCACCTTGAAAATGTATAGCCAGTGCAGGAAATAGTGTTTGTAATTGAAAAGCTGCTCTACTTGACAGTGTTATGCTAGTCTCTGTATTTCTGTGGGAATAAATAGGAGACATTACTTTCAGTGTCTCCCTGATATAATGCAAAATAGTATTAACTTTTTGCGTACAACCAAATGCTGTAAATTTTTTAAAAAATGTCAAATATTTATTTTTTTAAATTTTGAATTTTCCTATAAAAAGTAAATATCCAATTATTTTCTTTTTCTTAAATTAGCAATTACCGGAGTTGTGTATGAAACTTTTTCTAACACATATTTCTTTCTTAGGTTAATATCAAATGTAGTATCATTTCCCAATGAAATGAACTAATAATTTATTTAAGCTTCATGAATATGTAAGCATTAAGAATTAATTTTTTTCTTGTCATTTGTCTTTTTTGTATCATCGCTCACTTTCATATAGAAAATTTTCCACCACCCACCTGTATAGTAAATATTTGAAAGTATACCAAAATTGCTTGGTAAAAGTTTATCACTAGTTCATAAACTGACATCGTAAAAAATAATAAAGGGTGGTAACAAATAATGCTAACTTATGCAGCTGTTGCTACTACTGTATTAACCTCTAACATACTGGAGGTAATTTTGCTTGTAAAGTAAAAATTTTATCTTGTCACTGCAATTGACTCAGATGATGAATTAATTAATAGCATGTTTGAATTTCGCAGTTGTGTTGTCATATCCTACTATGGCAACAGAAAATGACCATGACTGAAATTAAGTAGTGCAGTAGAGAATTTATGAAAACAATGCAGTGGAAGGGAAAGTAGTGAATAATGCTTTGTGTTAAAGGTTAAAGAACAAATGAAAGCAAACTTGACCATTGAAAACTACATATCTAATTTAGTTTTATAGTTAAGATTTTTGTTCATAATTATTAAATGGAAAAAAATATACACTACATGCATGCAACTAATAAAAATTCAGCTAATATTTTTTGTTCTTGGTTTTCCTGTATCTGATTTATATCCAAAATAAATGTTTTTTTCATATGAAGAACTATTTGAATGTTAATGACCCTTCTTAAATCTTAGAAAATACCAAAATATTCCTTGTTTGCAGGGATATTTATATCTTATCTAGGAATGTGAACAAGTTATTCCCATTTAGTTTCCTGTTTTTGTATACAGGTTCTTTGCATATCTCATTTGAATATCTTTTTTTTTTTTTTTTCAGGTAGTATATATTGAAATAACTTTTTAATAGTCAAAATCCTATATCGGTACACTAAAATTTCCAATCACCCACCATTTTCTGTTCAGTTGCTTATCGCTCACCTCACAGCTGAAATTACCCATTGGTGGGCATATTGCCCAAGTTGGGAAACTACACATTAGTTGTTTTCTTCATTTTTCTCTCTTTGAAAAAGACACAGGTGGATTTAAATCTTTGGGTCAAGCATTACTGTTATCAGTCTACTCGTGGTGTTAAACAGATAACAGCAGATTTA